TTCACCTGAGCCTCCTGAGTAGCTGGGACTATAGGCATGCACCACCATGCACAGCTAATTTTTGTATTTTCTGTAGAGACGGGATTTTATCATGTTGCCCTGGCGGGTCTCAAACTTTGGGCCTCAAGTATTTCTCCCTCCTCAACTTTCCAAAGTTCTTACAGGTGTGTACCACCATGCCTGGCCGATAACATTTCTTTTGACCACTTACATTCAAGGCTAAAACCAATAGATATGTATCAAGAAGATAATATGCTTCTCATAGTATGAAACGTAATATAAAATTTGTAGCAATATTGGCCCTCTTACCATTCATAATGTATATTCATATTGCGAATTTTAAGAAACATAGACCTGTAGACTAGTTACTTCACAAGGCTAGGACTATGGCTTATTTTTTCTGTCTCCTCACTGAGTCCTAGCAAAATATTTGGCATTCAATAAATAATTCTTCGAAGAATCAAGCAAGAAAGCTTCCAGATAAGAGGAGGAAAAGAAAAGCAAACAATGGATAGTCTTTAAGTCAAGAAAAGAGTTCTCACAGTTGAGTCAGTCTGTACTAATGGCAGCATCCAGGCTCACAGGCTGTGCCATCATGCAAAAGATAATACAAAGAAAAATGGTTGGGATCATGTGATTCTAGAGTTTTAAGAATCTTATTTCTAATTGGTTTGATTTCTAATCATGTTTTCCGATTATAATTTTAAATCTAGAATATGCTTAAGTCAACATCTTTATATCTTTATTACCAACATCAATTGTTCATGCTTTCCCCCAAAGCACTAAATTTTTAGTGATTAAATCTGTGATAACATTAAAGATATATAAAGATAAACACACAAACACACACACATCTGTGCATAGTGTCTGCTTTTTATGGCCTTTCAGCAGTCTTTTAATAAAAAGATGATGATGCCCTTTACTCAGGATCAGCAGAAAACAGCAGGGAGAAATGAAGTCTCAGCCATGCCAGGCACTGCCTAGGAGCAAGGAGCAGTTTCAATAAGATGGATTAAGCCAGCGCTAAGAAACAACCGGTATCCTCATCTGTCATTCCACACATTTGGTCAGGCAGAGGCTACCCTACTGGCTCACAGATGTATCTAATAATATTGACTATTCATCCCTGGAGACAGCCAGGCATTATAAAACTGTAACCTGTGCCTGAAGTCCACAGAACATTCTGAATTAATGAAATCCCCTGGTTACCAACGGCTAATAGCTACACAGGCCAGATGGAATCCAGCGAAGGCCACACCTCTCCATGCAGTTCCTCTGCAAATTAAATTTGAGAATAGTCTTAATAGATGTGCTTGGAAAGAACTCAATAGACATTTGCAAAGAAAGTTACCTCAGTTTCTTTTAAGTCTGACGTTCTATAAATATGAGCTGAGTTCCTTCACCCCTCTCTCAGGAAAGGTGGATTATTGAAGGAGTCCCTTAATGCTGTTATTTTTTTCTTTCCTTTCTTTTTTTGAGGCGGAGTTTCGCTCTTGTTACCCAGGCTGGAGTGCAATGGCGTGATCTCTGCTCACCTCAACCTCGGCCTCCTGGGTTCAGACAATTCTCCTGCCTCAACCTCCCGAGTAGCTGGGACTACAGGCACACGCCACCATGCTCAGCTAATTTTTTGTATTTTTTAGTAGAGACGGGGTTTCACCATGTTGACCAGGATGGTCTCGATCTCTTGACCTCGTGATCCACCCGCCTCGGCCTCCCAAAGTGCTGGGATTACAGGTGTGAGCCACCGCGCCTGGCCCTCTTTCTTTTTTTAATACTTTAAGTTCTGGGGTACATGTGCAGATTGTGCAGGATTGCTACACAGGTATACACAATGCCATGGTGGCTTTCTGCATCCATCCCTCCATCATCTACGTTGGGTATTTCTCCTAATGTTAACCCTCCCCAATCTCCCCACCCCCTGCTATCCTTCCCCTAGTCCTCCATCCCCCAACAGGCCCTGGTGTGTGATGTTCCCCTTCCTGTGTCCATGTGTTCTCATTGTTCAACACCCACTTAAAAATTCAGAGAAGTCATTACCAGAAATAAGAATGTTTAAAACCATACTGAGGATGAGCTATCTTTGGCTATTTCATTTTACAAATTTCTCTTAAAATCAAGATTTGAGTAGAATTCTATAGTTCCCACAAAAAGGAAACCCACTAAACACTGAGTTTAAAGTAGTTAATGCCCGACTGCCACAATGAGGTTTTAAACCGCTGCTTTATTTGACTTGTGTCATGTGATCATGTGACTTCATATACTGACTGCTATTTAAACTATTCCAGCGTATCTGTCATTTCTCCAACTAGATTACAGACTCTGTGCTGGGAAGAATGTTTGGCATATAAGCTCTCATAAGTATTTGCTGATGTATCTTCTGAAATTACCTGTTTATTCAGAGACCAGCTGTGATTCTCTGACTCTGTTGTATTATTTTTCTGTGATTTGGTACACTAAGGACATGTATCAGTGGCTTTTCCTTCCTCTTCTGTAGCTGATTAAATGCCCAGCTGATTCCTGCTACATTATGTCTCCCAAAGGGCACCTCAGTGTGATGCAGTTGGCTATTCGGTTTTTCATTTATGGGTTCAAGCTGCTGAGAGAAGGCTCTAATAATACTTGTGTCAATGTAATACATAGTTTGCAATTGCTTTCTTAACAACAAATCGCATTACAAATGAGTGTATGATTTTAGAGCTTTAATAATAACCTAAGGGATTTCATAAGGCATTACCTGGCTGCATTTATATTTGAAATGTTGCAGTTATTTAACCATTTTTCTTATTTATTTTAGTGGCATCCTCTCTTAACTTAGGTGTTTTAGTAATAAAAATATGTGTGGGTTACATTTTTCAGCTCTCCAGAGTGTTCGCACACATTATTTCATTTTTCTCTTTCCCACAGGCTGGAAAAGTCTATTATACATATTTTATAGACAGGAGAGAGAGGCAGAGAGAGAGAGAAAATGACCTCCCTCAGGGTCAAGAAGATAGTAAACAGCTGGAGCCAGAACCTCCATTTTGACTTGCAGGCTGATTTCTATCCACTGTAGTGCCGTTCCCCAACACTGTCCCAGGTCAAAGGCAGGCAGTGTGTGTGACAATCACCTTAGAAGCTTGCCCAAAATACAGACACCTGTAGAGTACAGTAGGACTCTGTTTTAAAAAATAAAGAAACTTATTTTTATCTAGTAATTAGGCAAAAAAAAAAAAAAAACCAGTCAGCATTTGGCAAGTGTGTGGAAAAATAGGGACCTCCTGTTTCACTGTGGTTTATAAAAATTTTGGGGGGAATAATTGGAGGAGCATAACAATGTAAATGAAGGTAACTCTTCACCCCAAAGTCCTCGCTGGAAATGTTCCTGAAGGTATACCAATCAAGTACGCCAGTGTCTACGTACAAAGACGTTCACTACACAGCTGCTAATACACCTGAAAGCGTGGGGTTGCGGTCTGAGTGTCACATGCAAAAACTGTCGAAGGGAAGCAGGTAAAGCATGGTGGGTCCGCAGGTGATGAAGACTCCAGCCCCGGAGCAATATCACATCACTGAGGTGGAATCCCTGCCTCGACATACACTAGATTTATGAACTGGGGTAAATCCTTTAACCGAGCAAAACTTCAGTTTCATCCTTGACGAAATAACGATATCATTAGTGCAAAATTCCCAGGATTATGGTACAGATCGAATAGGGTAAAATGTATTATGCATTTAAAACAGTGAACGGCGCATAAGAGATACACAGAAGTTGGCTGTGCCATTACTAGTGTTATTCTCATTGTTATTGTCGTAAGTTGTGGTCCAGCAACATGATTTCAATTATGATTATTAGTAATAGTCAGAATGGGACAGTAGGAAGATATGCCAGAGGTAAGGGCTGTCTTGCAAAATGTCCAACATACGATGAACAAAGGATGCATACTCCTAGTGGCATCCTATTCTGGGTCCAGTGATTTTTAATGGCATATACAGAACAGCTGGCCAGTGCTTTTGCAATGTGTGAATTTTCTCATAAGTAATAAATAAGAGGATAAGGTGAGTATAATAGACTGCATCTTTTTTCTAGCATAGAAATATGGGATGCCAGGGGTAAGCTTCCTCACAAATGAAAAGGCATCCTCACTAGTATATAAGTAGACAAGGAAGTCAGGCGAGCATCTGCAGAATGTTTTCCATGGAGCTACATCGTGAAGTGAATCTATCTGTGGAGTTGCAAAGGCAGATAAGAGCAAGTATTTCCTTTCTGCTAAAAACAGAGAGGAAGTACACCCTCAAATCATCTTTGTAATTTTGATAAACCAGGTCCAATAAAACTGAAAAAAACTGTCTCTGAGGCCCTCTCTCTGGAAGTAGACAGGTCACACTGAAGTGGATGCCCAGGTCAGAAGGCTATAGAACAGTCTGTGATTCTGGTGAAAACTTAGAAGTGGGATCAGTCTGCAGATATTCACAGCAAGGCTGTCACTGTGTTTGCTAAGGCTCTGGAAAGAGAGCTCTTCAGAGGTACACTGAGTCACCTCAACACTACTTTCCCCACGATGTCTGTTAGTTTATTATGCAGTTTAATGGAAAGTGTGGGAAGGTGTATGGCATTATTCCAAAAAAGATCTGTACTTCCCAAACTAGAAAGCACCTGTACTTTAAAAACACTGATAATCTACCATCACAGGGAAGCAGAAGCACAGAGGTTAAAAGAGAGGGGTTTATTTGAAAAATTTATTATTTTCTGTTACCTCATGAGTAAACTAATTTTTTTCCATAAACATATTTATTTTTAATGATTGCAGAAAAGCAACTGAAACAGATAAAACATAATCCTAAATTATACCCAGATTTTGTTCTCATATAAAATCAGATTGCAAGCCACTAGATTAGCCAGAGATGGCACGAATCAAACACCTGAGTTTTTCAAGTGCAAGTCTGTAGCAGAATCTCATCTCCATTCACCATGCCCCAGCACTGCATGCATAAGAGAAGAAGCTGAAGGACATACTCACACGTACAAGACCGATCTGGTGTCTCCCACCTTCCCAGCATCACCAACCGTCAGGGTGTCATAGCCTCTCTCCAGCTCAAATTCTTCAAAGGCAAGCTTGATGACCTAAATGCAAGGTACAAAATAGTGACTTAGAACAATAGGCATTTCCCAGGACTTTAATAAGTACTGCAATATCTAGTTACAGTGTTAAATCTTGCTCCTTGATATCAATGTCAAATGATCCCTGAGCTGCTCTAAGTAGTTAACATGGATAATTATATACATTTGATAGCCTGGCATTACAGAATTTTATGAAATTCAAAATTGCTATTACTCCCCAACTTTGTATTTTCACCTCTAAAAATGAAACAACCTCTACAATACTTTAAGTTAAATATCTAACAAATGTTTACTTTAACATTTTCAGTGTCTGAGTGTTTAACCAATAACTGAATCCATATAAGCTAAAGAAATGTTGATTATAGTTAATGACATATATTTTGACCATATCCAGAATACCTTGAAATAAACATGCTCAAAGTTCTATATGCGTCTAATTATTCATATTATTTCATTTCATCATCCATAGTAACACTCAAAAGACTTCATGAGGATACAAAGTTGTCCTATATATTTAGCCTTGCAAAGGCTTTACATTTTTTGTTTGCTTGTTTGTTTTTTACAAAGAATACTCTGTCATCATGACCAGCACCATGACATCTGGACAATAACGGTTCATGTTTGGCATGCCAATATATTATAATCTATTAACTGCTTTCTACAGAGCACAAGATCTTTTTCTCCCGAAAGACGAAATTCTTCCTTTGGTAACAAATCCTATGATGAAGGAAATGCTGGGTTAGAAATCTGGGTAGTAAGGAGAAAAAGGAAAGAAGATCAATACATGATGATAATTAGAGGAATAACAGATAGATGATAGATTAGATGGATGGCAGAAGATACAGATCAGATGACAAATACATGGATACATACATAGATGATGAGAGTATACAGGTAGATGACAGATGGTATACAGGACAGTAGACAGGTGGACAGATGACAGACATTATAGAGGTAGATAGATGATAGACTGGATGGATAGATGGGTGGATGGAAAAATGGCAGATTATACATCGATAGATGGATATATAAATGAGAGAGAGGCGTTATGAGAGATGCGGAGGGTGTGAGAAAGGAAGGAGGAAGGGATATGGGACAGGAAGAGCAGAGACCATAATACTGGAAGCACATTTTAAGGGGCTCTATTTTAGAATGAAACAAATTCTGAAATAGCCTAGAAAAGTATCAAATGCCTATTTGTTAAGCTTGAAAGAAAACGGCGTGTGGCAACATAGAGAAGACAGACTTCCCACTAATACCCAAGTCCATGCAGTTCCATCCGACCCTAAACAGGTGCTTTTCCAAGCAATGCCAATAAGGAATACATTAAATCTGCTGTTTGAAATTCTTACTCAAATTAGTAACACAGCCATTATAATTAATTTTTAAAAAACTGCTATTTCAAATTGCAGTGTTTGTATGAATACATTATTTTGTCAATCTGATTTGAAACAGGTGTAGAGGTTGATAACTTGCAAACCAGTGCAAATACTGCATATTAAACGTAGCACCTGATATTTTTATTTCTGTTATTTTTGTTTCTCGTGAATCTATTTATAAGTGACCATTATCTGATAATTAGAGAATTTAAAAACTGAGAGATCATCATTGAGACCTGATAGTTTCCTTTCTGACATGCTCACTCAGTCCTGACTTGTTTAAACTTCTTGTGGGAAGCAATGACAATTCACAAATGTTTCGCTGTCATGGTGGGCCAATTTGTAATGAGTACAGATAGGGGTCACACTACATGAATGGCTCTCATTAGGGGCAGGAAAGGGGCCGTTCTGTAATTCTTTCAAGCCAAGGCAAAGGCAGACAGAGAAAGTCTTTGTCAGTAATTCATCTCAATAATCAGCAGGTCCTGTTGTCGAATAAAAATCTTTACTCTATGCTGTTGATGCTCAGTAAGAAGAGAAGATGCAGCCTCAGTCTTGCATAAAGCTTTCAGTTTGTCAGAGAATATGGCATTTTATGAACATATGCAGCTGTAAAACAGAAATATGTATACTTTTAACCAAATGTGCAATCCTTTCATAGTAAAAGAGAGCCAGAGAGATGCAAATGAAAAGTGAAGACAAAAGGATAATACGTTTAAAGTCGTGAGCAACTTCAGCGGCATTGAACCAAATGGTTTCTTTAGTTCCTACAGCAAATTCACCCTCCTTACGCCCAGCATGGACCGCCTCAGCTGTCCCTGGAGCTGGACGCTCCATATTTCTTTAACGTAATTATCTCATCATGTTTTTAAGTTCCAGGGTACATGTGCAGGATGTGCAGGTTTGGTACACAGGTAAACATGTGCCATGGAGGTTTGCTGCACCTATCAACCCATCACCTATGTATTAAGCCCACCGTGCATTAGCTCTTTTCCCTACAGCTCTCCCTTACCAGCCGCCCCAAGAGGCCCCTCCCTGTGTCCAGCTCGCACTTATAAGTGAGAACATGTGGTGTCTGGTTTTCTTTTCCAGCCATTTTTCCTAAGTACCCGCTTAATGTTCCTCCCTCAACCATGGCTCCACTGCCCACTCTGCCCAACAAAGTCAGTCTCTTTGCCAAAATCCTGCCTATCCTCTTCCTAACACTTGCTGTGTTGACACTTTTGGCTGCTTTGCTGTTCTGCCTGCCCGACAGAGCTCCCTGTGAGCACTGAGGGCAGACATCATGTGGCCTGCTCACGGAGGGAAGCACTGGCCTCACCCAATAAGAACTCACTGAAATCAATTCCTCCAGGCCGCAGAGCGAGGGGTGTTTATTTGAACTCTGTCTACTCTCTGATATAGGTGTTTAATACTATCAACCACCCTCTCAGCACTGCTTTCACCGTATCTCGTAGGTTTTGGTATTCTGTGTTTCTATTTTTATCTAAGAATTATTTTTAAATTTTCTTAATTTCTTCATAGACCATTGGTCCATTTCTTCATTTCCATGTATCAGTATAATTTCCAAAGTTGTTCTTGTTATTTATTTCTAATTTTATCTGTTGTGGTCAAAAAAGATACTTGATATAATTTTGGTTTTTTGAAAATTGTTGACACTTATTTTGTGGTATAACATACGGTCAGTCCTGAAGGATGTTCATTCCATTAGTAGAATGAGAAATCAGTAGAAGGATTTCTCATTCTACTGATGAGAAAAATGTGTATTCTGAATGTGTTGAATGAAATGTTCTACAAATGTCTGTTGGTCCATTTGATCTACAGTCTAACTTTAATACTTCCTTATATAATTTTTTTGTTTATTCTGCCATCTTGAGTTTCTGCGCCCTAAAGGGTCTTCATTACTCTGTTGCTTCAGAGAAATGTTCTACAGTGTTCTCCCCTAGACAGTGTAGCTGATATGTGCGTATCTACTTGTCATTTTGGTTCTTTGTGAAGGAGGCAAGTGCTGGGTACTCCAGCTAGCCATCTTGATGTCTGCTAAGCTTTGCATGACTTCCAGACATTTCTAGATGCCACGTCAAGCCAAGGTGTCCAGTGTGCATTTAGAAAAAAATAAAAACAATGTTGAGCTTGGGAGACATTCAGGACTAGACACACATAAATGGAGGTTCCTAACCATAGATGCCACCTAAACTAATAAGACTGTCAGAACACAAAAGGAAAGGGCATGAAAAGAAGAGGAATGAGGATGAGCCGCTGTCTCTTTCATATTTAGAGGTCTAAGAATTGAGGGAGAAACAACAAAGAAGAATCTGTGGGAGGGAGCACACCAGGAACATTCTGTGTTCTGAAAATTCCATAGAGTTAAGATCTTAGGAAGGAGGGATCAAAGGCACTGAATGCTACTAAGAATGTGAGTTAGATGAGCTCTAAGATGAGCCCTGTGGGCTTGACGAGGTGGAGGACATGGATAACCATGGCAGGAAAGAGCAGCAGAACTGTAGGGGTGGAAGACGTACTAAAGTGAGCTGGCAGGCAGAATGGGATGTGAGGAAGTGGAGTAAGTCGTTCTGGAGATGTCTTTGAGACATCTTAACTAACCTGGGTGAAGAGAAGTAAGAACGTGTCAGAGAGATTTTTTTCTTTTAATGGAGAATACTATAAGAGGATAAGAATGATTCAATAAGTATATAAATAATTTTGCAAGAAAGAAATATTGTTTGTATGTATTTTCCTTGAAAAAATATTCATTTACAAACAAAATGAAGTATTTCCCAAAAAAAATAAAGTATACTATATAGTTTCAATTTATTGAAAAAATTTATTTGATATGGGTCCACTCAAATAGAGACCACTTTTCCTGATTCAATTAAATGAAAGGAATCCAAATATATCAATTGATCTCTATTATCTTTCCCTCTGTGCATGTGCATATACGCACACACATACACACACACACATGCACACACGTAGATGTGCGCACACACACAAACATACACACACACACCTCAAGGAAAACATATGCATCATTGGGTTTCTTCCTTGATAACACTGCTTTTTATTTTCCCTTTTGATGACTTCCTTAAACTACATCTGTTTTCCTGAATAATGTGTTTTCGTCAGAAACTGTGATGGCAGAAAAATGAATAGGAGAAAGATTTTATAATTTTCTAAGATTTATAACTGACAACACAATATAAATCAGTACAAAGACACTATGCCTTGGAATGAGATAATTTATAAATGCTTTAATTAATAACTGTAGGTTTGAAATTGATGGGTTAGAAATGACAACTTAGAACGCAGAGGAAGGGACACTGGAAAACTGAAGATACTGTATCTGATTCATTCCATTTCAAATTATGTATGAGAAAAAAGGCCTTCCAAACTGTGAATTTCCTCATAAGAACATGATAACAAGTTTATGTCTGGAAATTATTAACACGTTTGCAAGGAAGAACGATTACACACTTTTAAAAGAAAGTTCACACTTTCTTAGAAAATAAAAATTATCAAATAATTTTAGTTGTTTTCGCCTGAGTTTGTAAGGACCAATCATAAAACTACTAAAAAATGTAATTAATGATAAGGAGACAACCTGTCCAAATTTATTCAGTATAT